CACAGACATTACAGCATCGAACGAATCACACCCTGATCCAAGCGAATATTCCATTCGACTGGGTATGCACGACCTCACTGACTTCCCTAAAAAGATGCAAGGACTAGAGCCCGAGGGCACTAAGCCATGAGCTGAAAAAAACAAAACGCAGCAACTAAGGGAAGGCAGAAAAAAAGACAACAAGGGAAAAAGACATGTGGCATCAACAAAGGGCGAAGGCTGGAGGGCAAGGGGGAGGCGGGTGGGCAGACAGACAGCAAGCCACAAGGCAAACAGCACAAGGCAGCAAAGCATATAGGCTGGAGGGCATGGGGGAGGCAGGTGGGCAGGCAAACAGCACAAAACAACAAAGCACAGTGGGTGAAAGGCATGGGGTAGACGGATCGGCAAACAAACAGCGTAAGGCAGCGAGGGAAACAACAACAAGACAAACGACGACAATGCAAAAACAATACCCAAAAAAAATACAAGTATAAACCAGGCAAAGACTGAAAAAAAAAATAAACAGATGATGAAAGATTGTTTCGTCAGAGTTGCACCGACTCATCAGGAGGCTGAACCCTTGACAATCTGCGGAATCCCCGTATTTGATGGTTTGGGTCATGAACCCTTTGACCCTTGTTGAAGGCAGTCTGTCCCCAAGAGGAACATAGCAGCGGGCAGCAACCCTGTGAAGCACCAGGCAACACAGTAGAGGCAACACGGCTGCACAACACCTAAAACGATTGCGAGGAACAACATGGCATGCAGCGCGGCAGCCGTGTAGTGAAGCACAAGGCAACACAAGCAAGGCAACAACACTGCAGGGGACGACAGGGCGAGTGAACCAGCAGCTGGACAACCATGGAGCGGAGCACAAGGCACCAGCAAAAAGGCAACCAACCTACAGGGCACACAAGCGGCAAGCACGGAAGGCACGGCCAACAGATGAGCAGCACGGCAGCGGAGCAGTGAAGCGCAAGGCAACACCAACAACACGGCCACACCGCACAGCGAACACATCAACCTGCAAAGAACCACACGCGACGCAAGTGGGACAGGCAGCAGGGCAGCTGCAGAGCGCAGACGAGGACGTCCACACATCCAACACGAAGCAAAGCAACACATGACCTACTCACATCACGATTGAACCCCGCAGACTGTTGGTTCCCACCACCCACTGAGCCAAGGAGTCACACCGACGAGCATCCGTCATCACCTACAGGCAACACAGACATCCCGAACTAAGCGGCCCCCATAAGAGTGCAGTATGCACTCCAAACGAGGAACCACCGACTGTTTGACACTACTTAAGGGTGCTCAGTCGGGCACACAATAAAACTTAGAAAAAATCAGAGGGAGGACAAACAACAGAAGTAAGACTGACAGACGTAAAACTGATTGTGTGTGTGTGTGTGTGTGTGTGTGTGTGTGTGTGTGTGTGTGTGTGTGTGTGTGTGTGTGTGTTTCAGAGATCCCAAAATTATCTCCTCATTCCAACCACAAATCATCACAAACCATCCATAAAACAAAAAAGGTATGGATGTGTGTGTGTGTGTGTGTGTGTGTGTGTGTGTGTGTGTGTGTGTGTGTGTGTGTGTGTGCGCGTGTGTGTGTGTGTGTGTGGTCTTTTGG